AAATAGATGGGGCACTCGAATTAGGTGATATGCAGGGAGGCCAAGAGATGAATAGAAGGACTCTTTACAAAGGTATGGACTTGTGGGATCCCACCACCCCTAATACTCATAAGCCTGAAGTGGGGGGAAGGGGAAAGGGAGCTATCAAGTGAAACCATGTAGAGAGGGACTTTTGACAGGGGCTATCCCTTCCAGATTAGGGACATTGCCAGCCTGAGACAATCTTTTTTTTTTTATTGATTTTTTTACAGAGAGGAAGGAAGAGGGATAGAGAGTTAGAAACATCGATGAGAAAGAAGCATCAATCAGCTGCCTCCCGCACACTCCCCGCACACATACCTATTGGGGATGTGCCCACAAACATGATACATGCCCTTGACCAGAATCAAACCTGGGCCCCTTGAGTCTGCAGGCCAACACTCTATCCATGGAGCCAAACCGGGTTAGGGCCCGAGATAATCCTGTAGGGAGGGAACTGGGAGAATAAATATCCCATCCTCAGTCTCCTCCCTTTCTCTGATGTCCCATCAGAGCTCCCCATTGGGCCAAACCCAAACCGAAGCTCTGCCTCCTGAGGCAGCCCAAAGAGGCACAGAGCAGGTGGAGAAGGTACCGAGTGGATCTGGAGGGGGAAACTGAACATGGCCAGCTCACACATCTTCATCCAAGTGGGCTAGGGTCAAGGACAGAGCCCTCCCTCAAGTTGACATCTAGTCATTCAGCAACATTCCTTGGGCCCAGGTACTCAACTTACTCTGAAACTATTACCAATACTATCTGTCAAGCCATGCTTTACAGTTTCAGGCACAAAGAATATTAGGGGAAATGAAATTCCATTTTGCTGAGGCAAGATGTTCTGTGTGAGGAGGGTTTTTCTGACTGTGTGAGCCAATCTAAATGGAAAATGATTTTGAGGAGGAGTAATGTGTGTTCTGTATCCACGTTGGGTCCCATCCAGTATCACTGAATTTAACTTCCAAATGAATCAAAGGAGGTTAAGCTGTAATGAACTGTGTTATTCTTTCTTGTTAATAGATGCACTATGTTTAGAAGAACTGGTGATTTGAGTGGGCCTCCTGATGTCCCCTGGATTCCCTGTAGATGTTTCTCAATTGATCTACCTCCTGGAAAGAAAACATATTTATAGGGTAGGGAATATAGATAAGAATATCTGGATGTTCTTATGCTGTCATCCTTTTTTTTTTTTTTTTAATAAAACGAGAACCATTAATATTCTAGCCTATGCAGATTGTGTGTGTGTGTGTGTACACTACATCCAGGGTATAATCTTATTTGGCAACCCCAACTGTTCATTGCTATGGAAATTAACATATCACCACAGTCTCTGTGTCATGGGCAGCCCCCTCCGATGGCTTGGTGGCAGACGTTCTGTTGACTGGAACAGCATGTGTGCAGGTGGAATAGAATAGGCAGCAGTCTCAAGAAATAGGACTTTCCTTCCAACTCTACTGGGAGGAGATGAGGACCATTCATTAAGTCCATGGGAAGTAATTGTACTTCTTAAATATATGCAAAAGAATGAATACTTATATAAATGGAATCATGTTCATCCAAGTTTTTTTCAGGAGACAGGAGAGCTGGGAGTCTTCTTCTCCCACTTCTCCGCCCTCTACCTTCATGTTTTCCCCTACACCTGCATTACCTCCACCCTGGAACTCCCACACCCACCAACACAATACCCTTCGGCCTCACCACCTGGTATAATTCCTTTTGTTTTGTGTTTTTTTTTTTACATTGCATTTTGTCTTCAGTATGATCCTTCTAAAACTACTTCTCAATGTGTTAAAAGGGAGGATTTCCTGGAAATTCTTATCAGTGACTACTTAAGGACAGACCAACCAAAGTCATTTAGCTTTCCCTCCTACTAGCTCCAAACCAACACGAACCTCAGCTAACATTGTTAGACACCTGGATTCAACTGCTGAATGTTTTATATCTAAATGGTACACTGCAGTGGCGTTCCCACCCTTTGCCCCCCTTTTTCCAGTCAGCTGTGGAACATTCCAGAACCAGGGGTCAGAAAGCCACCTGTGCTTCACTACTGGCAGCCTGGATTCCCTCTCTCAGGGAATTCCCTACAGCAAAGATGCCACCCCCTCTCCTTGTTGTGGAGGGACTCCTGCTGAGGGGGCTGCCTTGCCTGTGTACTTCAGGTCAGCCAGCATTGGTGGAGGCAGAGGAATTTTCTTTGACCAGCTGCTCCTCCTCCTGCTCTCTCAGCCTCCAGAGGCACAGGGGTCATCATTAAGGACATTGATTGGATGATGGCACTCCTCTTGTAGGCTTTAGGCCCTAGGATGCTTATGAACTCACAAAGTGCAGGACCTGTATGAACAGCAGCACTTATGTGACTCACAAAGGTGATGCAGTTGTTGTTGTTTTAACTCTAGGCTCCTTTGGTAGCTTGAACCTATTTTTACTTTACATTAATCACCAGGTATTATAATTACTAAAGAGTCTGCCCTGGAGGGCTGGGACCATGAGTTAGATTTTAACTCATCTTGCCAAATTGTGACATCCCTCTCACAATCCAGGACTGCTGGCTGCCAACTGCTCACCTACCTACCTTCCTGATTGTCCCTAACCACTTCTGTCTGCCAGCCTGATTGATGCCTAACTGTCCCCTGCCAGCCTAATTGCCCTTAACTGCCCTCCCCTGCCAGCCTAGTCAGCCCTAATGGCCCTCCCCTGCAGGCCTGGTCCCTCCCAACTGTCCTCCCCTGCTGGCTTGGTCATCCACAACTGCCCTCCCTTTCAGGCCTGGTTGCCCCCAGCTTCCCTCCTCTGCTGGCCTGCTCACCCCTAACTGCTCTCCCCTGCAGGCTTGATCACCCCCAACTGCCCTCCCCTGCTGGCCTGATCACCGATAACTGCCCTCCTTTGCAGGCCTGATCCCTTCCAATTGCCTTGCCCTGCTGGCCATCTTGTGGCAGCCATCTTGTGCCCACATGGGGACAGCCATCTTGTGTGTTGGAGTAACAGTCATTTTGCATATTACTCTTTTATTAGATAGGATTCTCTAAATATTTTTGGATTCTTTAAAATCAGCTTTAGTATTCTTTTATAGATACCATCCAAAAAATTGCCAGGATGTGGGGAACAGTTCTCTCGTGTGCTCCCTATGGACATGATCACCAGTGTCAGCTCCGTCTTTAAACGTTTGCTCTAGGGAAGCTCAAGTAAATACCTGTTATTAATTAAAATGTTGGCAAAACCACAGCCCAAACTTTATTCTTGAAACCATGGCAATAAGTGAAATATAAGCACTCTGTGCGGGCTTGGGAGGGGATATAAGGAAAATGTACTCGGTGAATATAAAGCTCCCCATTACCAGACTGCATTATTGTAACAGTATTTCCCCCCCAAAGGATGGACTTCTTACAACTTTCCTTCCTATGATGTAGTGTGTGCATTTGCGTAGAAATTTCATTTCCTTTGAATCAATACATGTGCTAAGAGAGGGCACCATTCGTTGGTCAAATAAAGTTATAATGTAGAATAAACTGAAATGTCTTTCTAATGCATATAAAATAGAAAAACCTATTTTCACTGAAGAGAGTGATTTGGTCAGTTCCATACGTTGAGTATCATGAATTGTTGGCCATCCAGGTGCTTCGGATGGTTGTTACTGTATTTCTAACACTAACCACCCAGCGCTGACCCACCACAGAGGAACAGTACCCATGGGAGTGTTTGGTATGCTTAGTATCCCTCTGAGAACCCTTGTTTTGTGCCCATCAGACTTAGTTTGTACATAAGAGAGTTTTTAATCGGTTGTCTTTTTCAGAGAGTCCTTATAAAGGAAGCATGGGTAGTGTTCTTGTCCATGTGTTGTACTGAGTTGAATATCTGTTTTGTATTTTCCATGACCCACTCACTGGAGGCCACTTAACTAGGGGGCCCCCAGCGCTCATACTTGCCTCTTCTGATCAGAGCATTAACCATCCATCAAAGTCCGAATGGAAACTCACACTTGCTTTCGGATCGCGCTCTTATACCTAGCCCATAGTCCCTGTTCTCTGGTGGAAACGGGTAGATTGATTGGCCATGTTACCCAGTTCTGGCTATAATAGTAACTCACGGAATTTTAGATCCAGAGTGTGTGGGGGAAGTGAGCTAGTCCGTGTCTCTTTAAGTGTATTTGTCAGAGCGCTGGCCTCTAGGGGGAGAAAATGTTTCCTAGTCGAATAAGACTGAGAAATGCTGAATCCTGTGTCTCCATCCCCTTGAAGATTCACAACGAAACGGCAACTCGACTAGTAAGTCAGCATTTCCCAAACCTATTTGACCAGGGAGCCTCTGTTCCCTGTGTAACAGCCATTCACATACTGCTCTAGGAAACGAGTCCATTCTCCTAGTGGATGGAGGGCCAGAGAATGAAGCCATTCGTGGGAGTGGCCGCCGGGAATAGCAGGAGGAGAGCCCACGGTGGTGGACGGCCTCCCTCAGATGGGCTGCCTGTTTGCACTGATAGCCATGGCTTCAAAACATTGAGATTTTTTCCCCCCCTTTGACATTTATTTAAAGAATCGTTTCTAAGGTTACTTAGGATCCTAGGTTATAGAGGTTTAGCAGATAGATAGAAAAATGTGTCAGTCGGCCCATTCAAGTTAGCAGCACTCCTCATTCATCTGCATCAGAAATGGCACCTGAAGAGTTAGCCTCCTGGAGAACAAAGGCGCAGGAAGGAGGCCCTCGGTCGCAGGGGTGGGGGAGGGAGAGCGAGCAGCCAGGAAGCAATTAAACAAGTGGATATGTAATTAGAAATTACGGGAAACCCAGAAAACGAAGTAGGTGCTGTCAGAATGAGCTTACATCTGCAATCTTTTTTTTTCTTCTTCTTCTTCTTTTTTTTTTTTAATTAACCCAGATTCGGAAGGGATCGATTGCAGCTGTGTTTCTGGCCACCTTGGTGCTCCGCTAAGGACTTACAGCCCTCACCCCTTAACGCCCCCTCCTTTCCCCTCTTGTCTCTCCAGGCGGGCGAAGCACCATGAGCGCGCAGTGAGTCGGCCCAGCCTCTCTCGCAGCCTTCCCCGACGACGCCCACCATGAACCCCTTGGAGGGGGCCGCGGAGGAGGTGGAGGTGACCGACGAGGCGGCAGGCGGGGAGGTGAACGAGTCGGTGGAGGCCGACCTGGAGCGCCCGGAGGTGGAGGAAGAGCAGCAGCCGCAGCAGCCGCAGCGGCGGCACCATGTGGGCCGGCCCCCGCGCGCGCTCGCCGCCGTCGAGGACCCCCGCACCCAGCCCGGGGGACCTCCTCCTCCTCCTCCGGAGGAAGAGGAGCGCGGGGAGTGCCTGGCGCGCTCGGCCAGCACGGAGAGCGGCTTCCACAACCACACGGACACGGCCGAGGGCGACGTGATCGCAGCGGCCCGCGATGGCGAAGGCGATGGCGATGGCGGCGGCGATGGTGACCCGGAGCGCACGCCGGACCCCGAGGACGAGAGCGCCTACGCCGTGCAGTACCGGCCCGAGGCCGAGGAGTACACGGAGCAGGCGGAGGCCGAGCACGCCGAGGCCACGCACCGCCTGGCGCTGCTGCCCAACCACCTGCACTTCCACTCGCGGGAGCACGAGGAGGCGGTGAGCGCGGCCTACTCGGGCTACGTGTACGCGCACCGGCTGTTCCACCGCGGCGGCGGCGGCGAGGACGAGCCCTACGCCGAGCCCTATGCAGACTATGGCGGCCTGCAGGAGCACGTGTACGAGGAGATCGGGGACGCGCCCGAGCTGGACGCGCGCGACGACGCGGAGGCCGCTGCGTACCGCCAGGAGGCTCTGGGCGCGCGGCTGCACCACTACGACGAGCGCTCGGACGGCGAGTCCGACAGCCCCGAGAAGGAGGCCGAGTTCGCCCCTTACCCGCGCATGGACAGCTACGAGCAGGAGGAGGACATCGACCAGATCGTGGCCGAGGTCAAGCAGAGCATGAGCTCGCAGAGCCTCGACAAGGCGGCCGAGGACATGCCGGAGGCCGAGCAGGACCTGGAGCGCGCCTCCACCCCCGGCGGCGGCCACCCCGACAGCCCCGGGCCGCCGGCCCCGCCTGGGCAGCAGCAGCAGCAGCAGCGGGCGGCGGCGGGCACCGTGGTGGTGGGCGAGGCCGTGCAGCGGTACAGTAAGGAGAAGAGGGATGCCATCTCGCTGGCCATCAAGGACATCAAGGAGGCCATCGAGGAGGTGAAAACCAGGACCATCCGTTCGCCTTACACCCCCGACGAGCCCAAAGAGCCCATCTGGGTCATGCGCCAGGACATTAGTCCCACCAGAGACTGCGATGACCAGAGGCCGGGGGATGGAGATGTAAGTACGCGCAGCCGCGGGAGGAGACGAGTGTGGCCGTGTTTGTCATTGGGGGAATGACTGGGGAATAAATAGTCTGTGGAGATGCTAAAATGTGTCCACTGTAAGCCTCAAAACAGTTTGCACTTAAATGAGCGCCAGGGAAACACAGGTGGTTGGGAGTTCAAGTGTTAGATGAGCTTATCAGATCTGAGAGGGATTGCTGGGAACCAGTGGTTCTCAGCCTGCTCCTGGAAGGAACCCTGGTTCAGAAATGGATTTCTAGGCACACCGGCCCCCACTCACGCCCTCCCCGGCCTTCTTTCTCATTCAGAGGTTTGGGGTGGGGTCTGAACATTTGTCCTCCTGGTTGAATGAGGAAAGCCTTTACTGGGAAGGTGTATTGCAAATGGGAGAAAGGTACTATTGTAAAGGGGGCGTGGGAGGTAGAACTAGCAATAGGGTAATCTCTGACTGGGAGCTCTGCAGGAGACCCTAGGGTTTGGAAAAAAGGGAGTTTATTTTATTGGGAAGAGTAATCAATGCTGGAAAGGATGGGTATGAGGAAGTGGGCAGAAAGCATGGCAGATAAGAAAATGGTTTAACCTGAGAGGTTGTTGTTGAGGGGTTGTTGACTAGCCAGCGTTCAAGGACCTGGAGAAAGGAGGGAAGCTTAATCAAAGACTGGTTTACAGGCATCTTGTTCTGATGAATCCAGAGTTCAGCTGATCTTCTGTCAGGTAAAGAGTGGGAGTGTGGAGGTCTGTGTCTGACTTTGTCACAGGTACCAGCAAACAGGGAGGCACCTGCGAGTGAGTCTTAACTAAGTCATAGGAGGAGTTCTTCGTACTAAGCTGTTTCCAAAACACTTTGGTGGGGACCCCTATCTTTTGCTGTTCACAGGGCTCAGGTGAAGTTCGACGTGGTCACTAACTAGTTCCCAGGTGAGGCTGATCCGCTGGTCCCAGAACCACAGTTTGGGAACCACTGATTGAAAACAACCTCGGGCAGGTTTGGCACAGAGAGTGCGGCCTCCTCAGAGGAAAGATTTTGGAGGCCGTTCCTGCCAGGAGTTTTCACCCACCAGTTCCTCACTGTGGCTTTCAGCAAGTGCTCAAATTAAGGCACCAGGGTGTCCTTCTCACCTCACAGAAGACTTGCTTTTGGTTTTAAACCGAATTATGCTTCTTTGTGAAGAGCTACCAAAAGCTATTGCTGTCCATGTTGACATTTTACTTTCCATTTTTTGAAATAACCTAAGAAATTTGATAACGTGGCAAGCTTGGGTGTCACAATCTATTCAAAATAAACCAAGAAGACTAACTTTTGCCCCACTCCCTAGCTATAAAGATCCCCTTTCTGCTCCGACACTCACTTTCCATTCTCCTGAACATTTTTTAAGCAATTTCATTTAAAATGGGAGCTTGGAGTAAAAAGAAGGGTCAGGAGGTTAAATTCAATTTCATTTAGTTCTTCATGTTATGAGTGCGCTAGGCTGTTTCTCAGGATACCTTTTGGAGTGAGAAACCATTATTGGAAGCTGTTCATTTTACTTATACGGAAAGGGCTGTGCAGGTCAGAGAGGTATGGTTCGCTATGCCACCTCTTTCAGTAACAGTCAACACTTGCTGTCCGCTGATTAAGTCTCCTGCGCCTTTAAGGGAAGGCTGGGAATCTGTAGGAAAAGATCTTCGTGCTCACCCCACAGCAAGGGGGCAGCATTGCGTCAGCTAGTTCCATGATGTCCTGTATCTCTCTACCATTTTCCAGACTTCACATCCGAAAGGTTCAAAACAGGGGTGCTGACATGTATTTGACCTCCAGCATATCCAGGTTCCTCTTGGCTAGGAGAGAGGGACTGCAGCAAGCATTTTGCAGATGAAGTGGAAACGGAGCAGGTTTTCAAAAGTAGGGAGCTGGCAAGAAGCTGGGTTCTACCTTCTTTTAGAAACTCGGGAAGAGCTGCAGGAGCGTTAAGTCCAGATACTGGCCTCCTCCTTCAGCTCTCCCACATGCACCAGCTCCTGAAAATGACCAGCAAAATCGTGTTGTCCCTGCAGCCTCATGATGAGCCCTCAGCACACAGCCTGCACTCGGGCAGGGCCGGGGCTGTCTTCCTTGTGTTCATCTCTACTAAGACTAGAGGCCCGATGCAAGGAGCTAGGCCCCAGCCGCTGTGGTGGCCCCTCTGCCTCAGCTCCTAATGCTTCGGCTTCGCCCAGAAGGCCGTCCAGAAGGATGTCCTTCATCTGATCTAATTAGCATGTTATACTTTTATTATGGTAGATAACCACTTAATCCTCTCCTTCATTCCAAAGGTAGAATTAATTATAGAATATCAGGTGATGCTTTAGAAACCCATATTGTCAGAAATTAGGCTTGATGTTAAGAAGTTGGTAAGGCTTACTGGGTTATGAGTAGTTAATACCAAGCAAACCCCAAAACCCGAGCCTTAAAATATCCCACCAGTCAGTTGTAAGCCACTTAAATTTGTGTATTGTGCTTCATCTGTCATGTTTTTTTTTTTTTTTATGGGAAATACCTTCATTTGCTATTTCTTTGATGATATTATTTGTGTAGATATATACACATCCTGTTGATTTCTCTTCAGCATTAAGAAATATTTACTGCAATGGTAAAATATGTACACAGATAATAATTTAATTTAAAAAAAAGAAAGAAAGAAATATTTACTGCATACTCATTCCAGGTAGAAAATGGGGGGCACTATTAAAAGCAGTGTGGTCTGACGTCTGTCCAGGAGGTACTTGTTAAATCACTGCCTTTCCCTTCCAAACCAGATTACCTAAGTGGAGCCCAGTGAGCTGGGATTTGGGGTTTTTGCTTGTTTTCTGACTTGGTATTATATCGTTTTGTAAATTCTCCCTGCGGTTCTTAAGCATATAAAAGATTAAGAATCATTTACTTAAATTTCAAGAAAAGTATTCTCTGGGCAGTTTCCCCATATAATAGCGGTGGGTTTGAGACTTGACTACCTTTCATTAGCACGGGTGCGGTTTTAACAGAAAGGGCCGCCCTGCTGTGGTTATGGACAGCAGACCTGGGGAAGTGGCCCTGCAATTCTTATTCCAAAAGCAGTGCCTTCTCCAATTGGCATGACCAGAAGCTACTGAAGCCCATGGAAAAACACCTGTATTACCATTTGTCAGAGATAACTGCTGATAGCTCAAGCTGCGTTTAACGGGACTTTTAATTCCCTAGGAACTTGAGCATTTTCCTCTTCACTTGGCACAAGCTGGCATGTGCTTGCCGATGACCTGTACAGATGCAAAGAGAGGACTGCTCATTAGTGAGAACTTACTGAACACATAGGAGATGCTCCGCACTGAGGGAGAATAATTGTTTGCTGAAAATTTAAAAAATACGTATTAATCCTTTGCTTCTGGTAAAGACTTTCTCTGTTCCAGCTATGTGTTTGAAAACTGCATCCCAACGCCCTTCTTGAAAAATGTCATTAATGAATGCCCAGTTCTGAAAAGTTCCACCGCCTAGCCATCTCTTTCTAGGCAACAAAGGAGAGAACAGAGTCCTGGTAGGATCAGAGAGATGGGGGGTAGCAGTGCACAGTACTAATTGGATGGTGTTGGATACTTTGGTGTGTTTTGCAGCTTGAAATCGTGTTTAATTCCGATCCCTCTTAAAGCTACACTAAAATGGTAGTAAAATAATAAAAATATGTAAAACCACAAGCACCATGAGGCAGAGGAAACAGCAGCAGCTGAGAACAACAAAATTTGGGAACATTGGTGCTCCCCAGTATTTCCAGTTGTCCTCTTCTGCGGAGCACAGGGAGGACTGTACCATCCTTCCTTTTTTATTATTTTTTTATTAAGGTATTATATGTGTACATTTGTTCCCTAGATGTTAGGCCTGGCCCATGAAATAGGAGCAGTGAGCAGAGCTCTACCCTTGAAGCCTCAGGTCACAAGACTCAGAGCCTCTATCAGCCTGGGTCCTGAGTGACCCTGACGAGCTGGGATCCCTGCTGACCCTGCGAATGGGCAGTGTGAGAGAGGAGTCAACGTGGGGGAGGGGTGAGAGGGGGAAGGTTAGTGGTTTGTTACCAGAGCAGAGCCTGATCCATCCTGAGACATAACGGATAGGTTTCTGTTTCCTCTGCTGAGTGGCTGTAGGGATTTTGCTATGGACTCTAAGAAAGGCTTGGGAATTCAAGACACCAGACACCTCAGATGGCAGGAGTATGGCTGGGAAAACAGCTGTGTTTGAAAGTCTGTCATTAGGAGAGGTTAGATCCCTTGTCCAGCTCATGTGGGCAGGTTACCTCTCCTCCTCCTGTCCACAGAAGATGGGAGGCACTGTGAGGGGAAAGTGAGTCAGAGAAGCACCGCAAGTGGGGTCACTAGTCGAAGCTGAAAATGGATGAAGAGCCTTAAAGAACACACGCCTGCTGAGCTGCGAGACTCAGACTGCCTCAGAGTTCTTAGCTGTCAAGCTTAGAACCCACGCGGCCCCACAGTCCAGCAGCAGACGAGAATACTCCTCTCTGAGGAAACAGACCCAGGAGAATATACCTACAGACACTCATGTTTGGGGGTTCCCACACATAGCACCTGGCCCCCTACCAGATCACCCCACAATGAAGGTTCCTGCGTGTGCTTTTTTTTTTGGACACACAGTGAAATAGACATGGACATCCAAGGATCACCAGACATTCGAAGAACATCTCTAACATGAAAGACAAAAGATACAGAAAAAGCAAATGAAGAAAGGAACTTGGAGAAATAAAGGCAGTGCTCAGAGCAGAAGAAAACTATACTAGTAAAACACTTATCAATGTCTTCAGAAAGGAAAGATAATGATTATCTAAATTAGATTGCCTTTTTCTAAAATAAAATTTTAACTAAAATATATGACAGCAGAAATTTAAAATTAACTTTAAAAAATCTTTTAGTAGGAAGGGTAGAAGATAAAATAGAGGAAATCTTCAAGAAAGAACAATTAGGGCAAAAGGAATGAAAGTAGTAGGAACATCTATACTA